ATATTAAAATTATTAAATTTTTAATAAGAGAGATTAAAATCGCACAATTATGATATTTAAGGGATTAAAATTGTTCAATTAAAAATTAAAAGACTAAAATTGCATAATTTCAATCCTTTAGGGACTAAAATTATCTAATTAAAACCTTAGGAATCAAAATTGCACAATTACAATACTTGAAGGATAAAACTGTAATTAAGCCTAAAGTATTTTATCTCTTTTAATGTTTTTTAATCCTTTTTAATTTAAAAAATAAAATTTGCTTGAAATCCTAATTGAAATTATAATAAAAAAAATTATTTTGTAATTAATTCATAATTTAAACCTTAAATCCTCTATTTGTTTCCTTTAAAGTAACCATCATTCTCAAATTATATCATCATTTTCTAATTTATTGATATTTTATTTTTTTTTCTCTCACCTTCTCACACAAATGAAACATATAATCTTTGTAACTAAGTTTTAATTATTCTTTGTTCTTCTCAAATCTTTAATGGAGTTTAATGATTTTTTATTTTACAGTTTTTTTTTTGGAGTTTTATGAATTAATTGATTTAATAAAAAACAATCCCTTCCATGTTGCTCCCTTGTTGAAAATTGTATTTCTCCATCTTGACTCCCTTCAATAACCATCTAAGTTAATCTATTAAAATTTGATATCTACTATATATATATATATATATATATATATAATATATATATGTATATATATATATATATATATATTATACACACAAAAGCATTTACTTTGATAGTTAAATGTATTAATTTTTTTTTTTACGTTTTTCCCTTCATAAAAAATGTATGATAAAATTAATCTTTTAAATTATGATAAAGTATATATTTAATTTGATAACTAAATCTGTTAATTATAAAATGAGTTGTCAACTAATTACAAAATAGTTAATTAAATTTTAAATATATTAGCTACAAAACTAATCATTAGAATAAATGAGATTTAAAAATTATATTCACCAAAAAAAAATTCAATTGCAAGAAAATAAAACCAATATAATAAAAAAGAGAGAATTTTTAGTGAACTGGTTTAATTATAAAATAGTTATGCACAAGAAAGGAAATAAAGAAAAGACATTCACGAGAATATATTTCAATAAATATTGCAATAAAGACATTCACAAGATAATTTTTACTAAACTAAGTATTACACCGCTCAATAATTTTATATATATTAAATGTGAATTTTGTAAATTCAACCGTTATATTGAAAGTTCATATCACATTTAATATGATATGAACTTTTAATCTAACTGTTAGATTTACAAAATTCACATTTAATATAAAGTTATTGAGCGATATAATACTTAGTAAAAATTACACCGATGTTATTATAACATTTCTCATATATATATATATGAGGAGAGTTATAATAACACCGGTATATTTGATATAATCGAGCTTTAAATATATAGGTTGAACCTATTCTACAAAATTAAAATCTAAATCTAACCTATTATCTATCATAAGTTTTTTTTATAAACCTAGCCTTTTTAAAGTCTAACTTAACATATTAGCATATTTAAATTATTAATTTTAATTAGGTCAATAAACTTGATTTTTAAAAATCAACAAAATTATTTTTAAAACATAATTTACTCAATATTATTAAAATTTAAATTTTAAAAGAAATATATGAAAAAAAATTGAATCATTTTTCGTTGAAAGGACAATCCATACGTAATCATGTATGTTGATGTACATCTAGACATATATCGTAAACTTATAAATCCTATAATAATAAAAAATAATTTTATAAAAAAATATTTTTTAAATATTGATAATTTATTTTTATTTTAGAAATTTATTTATTTATTTATATTTTAATAATATATATTATTTTTTATTATATTATATAAATAAATAAACTGACCTATAAGACTTAATAGAATGTCTAAATTTGACTTTTTTATTAAATAGACCAGACTTTAAAAAAGTTAGACTATAGGTCCCTATTTAAAGTCTAACTTATTCTCATCCTAATTAGACGAGAATAGATAAATAACTTTTCTTTTTATTGTATTTTACTAACATCAAAATACTAATTTAAATTGTTTTCACACCAATTTAAAATATTTTTAATACGTTGCATAAAATTTCATCTATACCTATAGGAGAGAGTAAAAACTTATATAACAAAATGATTATTCATTTTATGTGCTAAAAATAACAAATATATATATATATATATAT